TAGAACACATAATGAAGTCTGCAAGATGTGCTAGTATGATAAGCTTAGTTATGTCAAGCAATAATGTCAAGCAAGCATGCAAACAAACTAGAAGAACATATTCTGTCCTTGGTCCGTGCTTATCTTTCTTGTTCAAACCGGACACTCCAAGTCATATATCATGTGGAGTTACCTACCACCAGACACTCCAAGTCATATATCATGTGGAGTTACATACCATTTTCTTTGAAGTATCCCACAGCTATCTGCTTGGGGGATTTCACAAACAGATTTTATTTCTCTCATATTTCTTTACATTAAGCTATAAAAGCCCCATAGCCTGGGATATCCCAGTATTCAGAAAGGGAGAAAAAATAAAGGAAAGCTTCTATCTTTTCAGCTCCAACCCTGCCTTTCTCTGCTGGAAAAAACATTTGGTGCTGTGGCTGGAGCCCATACTTGTTGGTGCAAGCTCTGAGCATTACAATGTTTTCCACAAAAAGAGAGCCAGCCTGGGCTGTGGAGGGATGAATGAGACCTGTTTGTTTGGGTCCCTTGGCCAGGAGTCCCGAGCAGCAGTTTCTGGCCTGTTTAGTTTCATCTTCCCCTGGGGCTCYCCTCCTTTTGACCCCTGGAGCTGGCAGCTAGGGACCTCTTGGTCTCCCTGCCATGGCCCTGGCACCGCTCACAGTCCCTGACACTAGGGTTTGGTGAACATGGCACTGGGAAAGATACAGCAAACAGAAAAAGAYAGAAACAAGTAAGTAAAAAGATTAAAAGGATGATTGCATGCATGACAAAAGAGAAGCTGGGTGCTTCCCACCCAGCGTGGCCATTTCCTTCTTCCCAATACTGCTAAAGGGCTTAATCCAGAATTGCAACCACTGTCCATGACAGGTTGTTTCTTTTCTTTTATTCTTTTATATTTTCTCCTTTTCTTTGCTTTCCTTTCTTTCCTGGTGTTTTCGGCGCAGCCGGCCGCAGAGGCAGCGGCGGGAGACCCACGGCGAATCGCACAAGCAAGGCAGGTAGGTGAAGCCCTGAGCGTGGAGCCGGCGCCGCTTCCCCACACCCCGAGCGCATGTTCCCTTAAAAACTTGGCGCTGGAGGGGACAGAGGGAATAAGAGGGGAGTTCAGGCCCTGGGTGAGGGAAAAGCCACCCACTTGTGGCTGGTCAGAGCATCACCGTGCGTCAGGCACCCCGCTTGGATGTGGTGACCATGTTCGGTGGCCTCTRAGATGGCTGCACGGGATGCATGAGATTGTGCCAAGTGGTGGCCAGGATGGGATCTGAGTCACGTCTAACTCTCCTCACAAGCGGCAGCTCTTGGGAGGCCAAAGGGCTGCTGTGGCAGCCCAGGAAAGCCCCCATGAGGGCCTGCCCTGCCCTGCCTTCCCAATGGCCACCACAACATGGTGGAGCCTCCTCCTCGCCCAACATGTCGCACCCAGAGCTCCCCAGCAGCATCTCCCTGCGTCCCACCCCTGCGGAGATGCTGCCTTTTTCCCTTTCCCATCTGAAAGGCAGAAGTGAGAGAAGCTGTMGATCACATCACTTCATCCAAAAATGTCTTGTCCCCCCACAAAAACCACAAACAATCAAAAACCTCTCCTTATTTCTAAATTAACTTATCAGTTTTGTGGAAAATCCGTGTGTTTCACTGGAGAGATATTTTTAATTTTCAGGACTCAGTAAAGACTTTAAAAGCAAAATGAAAAAAAAAAAAAAAAAGATCGATTTAGCTGAAATGAAGAAAGGAAAAAAAAAAAGTATGGCTTTAATCTTCCAAAAGCAAAACCCTTCTGTAAACATTTTTCTTCGGCACCCCAGAACTGTTTTCACTGTTTATTTTCTGATTGAACTTCTATCCACTTCCTTTAAAATGCAAACATTTTAAAGAGAGTCAATTAAAAAAAAAGTAACCAGTTCTTTTTAAAAAGCAAGTAAAAGCCCCATTTTTAACATCTTTTCTTTTAAATGATGTTAAAAATGAACTTTTGCTTTCTTTTCTTTTAAACAAAAAAAAAAATCCCCATTTTTTTACCAGAAATTAATAAATAAAATCACTATTAGTCAAGATAAAAATATTTTTATCCTATCTTTAGGTTTTTATGTAGGGTTTATATATATAATATATATTCTTTAATTTTTAAAATTAGTCACTGTAATAGGAATATTTCAGAACAGGAAGAAATTAAGGGAAGTGAAAACAGTCCCTGTTGTCACAGACACTGCTGGAAACCAAGTAGCTGCCTTCTGTGATGGGAAAAATAAATAAAAATCAGCACAACCACAAAATATTTGAGTAACAATTGGGAGAGCAAATGCTCTCTCCTCATTCATGCTGAAAATATGCCATTTCTATGATTATAGGACAGGACTTAGAAAAAATACAGCAGCAATGTAGTTCCAGGGTATTCACTTTACCACCCTGTAGACTTTCAATTAAACTCCTTGGTAAGAAGGTTGCAGAAAAGTGATAGATAAAGATCAGAGCGTTCATACGACAGAGTTAGATGTCCATGAAGTATTTCATTTAGACTTAGGAGATCTGCAAAAGAAGTACTAGACAATATTACATAAATAGGTAATGTATCCACAGTAAATAAATGGAAGAGCAGTGAACTGGCATCTCAGAAGCGCATTCTGCATGTAATGTTGGTTACAATAGGAATCTGAAGAATTCTCTTATCTGCCTGGGGCTATTCAGCATCTTTAGTAATGAGCTGATAAAACATGAAACAATTGCTAGTGAAGTTTAATAAGCAACATAAAACTTAGCTGAGAGGCAAATAGCTGTGGTATTTTGTCAATCCTRCCAAGACATCTAGATCCCAAATTGTTTGAACAGTGTGCATTTTGATGGCTAAATGCAGTATTATTAGGAACAAGGCATGTAGTTCTTGAAGGATGAGACCACACTTGGAAGGGAATTAACCCATGAAATTCATCATGTATGATTAGAAGCAAGAGCAGTGAGTAAGGAAGTACGGAATATCACTTTGTATGGTATTTGAGGAATTATGTCTCATCTCTAAAATCACAGAAGGGAAGGAACCCCTGGGGTCACCAGATTTCATCCCCAGTGACTACATGGACCATCCTCCTGCCACAAACACAAAGAATATCCCCTGCAAACCTTTGTTTGASAAAGGAGAACCTCACTGCTCCATTGAGATAGAAACATTTTAATTTTGACCCAGCTTTATTCATTCTTGTTTTGCACAGATTAGTTTGTTCTTGTGTTAATATTCTCCCAGCCCAGGCTCTACATTGCACTGCTCATCCTTCTCTCTACCTGTTTCAGAGAAAGCTTTCACCAGTGATCAAATGTACACACGAACCTCGGAGATTAAGTCAGTGACCTGCTAAAAACACTCCCAAGTCTCAGATGAATGTAACCCTTACATAATGCACACTGCAGCCGCATGATATACCACTGTCCCCTTTTCTTCTCTGTCATTTCTAGACAACTGTGACTCATAGCCCAATATTGTGTTATTCAATGCCAGGGGCATGGAAGTGCATTTTTGAGTTATTTAACTGCACCCCATGCCTGCTACTTTACTCCTCAAGTTTGCCTACTTCTTTCTGGAAAGAAAAGAGAAAAAGACTCTAATTAGAGCTGTGAGAGTGGTTCAGCTTCTGGGGCACATACTTTTCATTGAAAGTGGGGAGAAATGCAGTGACTTTCTGGCATGAAAGAAAGAGTTTAGAAATTGTTTTGCTTTGGCTTGCAGACATTTGGTTTGTGAGRCTGCTTCTACATAACAAAATAGGGGCAAGATGCTGTGGACAGAAGCTGAATTAAATAATTCTAAAGTAGAAGCAGAGTGTAGCTTTTAAAATTCAGTGTGGACAATTAATTACTTGAAGAACTCATTGATGGATATAGTGATCTGTTCACCTTTAGAAATCATTAAACTCAGACTGACTACCTTTCCAAGATGCTCTCTAGTTTAGAGAGATGTATGGGTTCGAGAGAGGATTCCCTATTAACACCTTCATAAGACAGGGCATCAAAGTAGATTATCATACTAGATTCCTGTGGTAAGACTGTCTATGAGGCTACAAGAAATACAGTGTGGTTAAGCAATCTCATTTGTGGAAAGTTTTATCTCAAGAAAATATTCCTGACTTGGTTTATATATATGGAGGCAAGCGGCCCTCTGAGCATATTATCTTTCTTCAAACTCAGAAACAGCAAAATCTTTCCTACTTTTTTCTCRAGCCCTCATGCTGTCTTATCATCTGCAGGGTGGCTAGCTCACAGTGCAACAAAGGTATAATTACATTACAGAGCTATAAAAGCTGCTGCAACTGCAGTCCAGGCGTCAGTGGAGCTGAACATTATTTTCCMTTTCAGGGGTGGATTCAGAGGATGAGCACATCATCYGCTGTCCAACATTTGATGTGACTCTGTTAGCATCTGGAATGACTCTTTCCAAACTGTCCAGTCTTTAATGTTCCTTTTTATTCTCATTAGAAATCTGGGGCAGGAGCTAATCATTTTATCCCAAGCTAYGAGGGCGGGGGGCTGGCCTCCTGGCGTGATTCCCAGCCTATCTCCATTTTGTTCCTGGGTTACAGCCAGCAGCTTATTTGATATATTGTTTCCTTAATTCCTGTCCTCATGCCTTGTCACAAATCGCTGTCAGAAATGCTTCCCCACTGCCATTTCCCCACTTACCATGCCCACTGTTTTCTAGGCCACGTGTTGAATAATTGTAGCCAAACGTTATTAGTGGTGCAGATAATTTTACAGAGACAAGAGTCAGAGAACAAATGCTTTCACCGCATGCATGCTTTATCATAGCCGTAAGCACTGGATACTGGACACGAGAATTATTGTTTGATGAGAGGCTATCAACTGCTCCCACTGCAAGCAGTCACACAGTCACGGTTTAAGAGGCAAAAGAGCAAGAATGGGCCCTAGTTTCAGAACTGCAGTGAAACAGGATGCTTCTTACAGGCACTGATCAGGAAGGACTCATATCTGTGCTTCTCTTTTCCCGGTAGCCCAATTCTAAAACGAAGCCCTGACATCACCAAATCTCCCGTGACAAAGTCAGAGCAGCTGCTGCGAATAGACGACCATGACTTCAGCATGAGGCCGGGTTTTGGAGGTATGAATCATGCCCATTTGCCTGTGGTATTCTTCACCATAACCTTTTAATACGGTAACATAAAGTTATATGCAGCAAGCAGATCAGCAAAGCTGAGCCTTTTCTGTCTCTAATTTCTGTTATTTTGTGTTATGGATTCATGACACATTTGGGAGGATAGAGTTGCAATGAAACATCCTGTTCCTGGGCTGAACAAATAGCTTAATCAAAGACATGGAAATGTGGAAGAGGCAAGTTAATATTCCTGGTATTCAACAACACTTTCTTCTGATAAACTCAACGAGAGCAGCTCACATTTATTCCTAGGAGTCCTAGGAATCTAGAACTTTGTCTTACTATAACAACGTGTTTGCATAATCAAATCCAGTATGATATTTACAGACCTGGCTACTTCATTTATAACAAAAAATTAAAACAAGTTGACTACTGTGTGTTAATACTTTGCTCACAGTTTTGTGCCTGTGTGCTACAGCAAGCTAAGCTTTTAGAGAAATGGATTAAGGAGAACATGCTTTCTTCAACCTACCGGATTAAAGAATGTTGTAATTTATCTACCCTTTCTGGCTGACAGATGGTCATTCAAATCCGGAGTACTATTATAYTCTCCGATAGAAGAAGATTTTATTGCTAAATGCTCAATATACAAAATACCAGCATGTTCAATTAATTTAAAATAGTTTCAGTGTCACAGCAGTTTCATAGCAGTCCACTAATGTATTATTTGCCTTGACAGATCTCCTGTAGCGTAATAGCCAGAGGTATACAGGAGCTACCCAAAATCTGGAGGATGGAATAAAAACCCAAATCCCTGTTCTGTCCCATCATAGTCCAACCCTTCCCTTCCCCTCCCAGGAATCCCAGACCCAGTGGCACATTCCTTTTTATCAAGTAATGTGATGTCTCCTTCACAGGCAGTCCTCACACCTTGCCATCCACAGGCAAACACTGAGTGATGTAAAAGCAAAATACTCAAAGTAGCTTTCAGGGATCTTATTAGTCTGAGAGAAGAGCAGAGGAAGTGATGGGAAAAACATAAATAATTCTCCCACATGCTCTTAACTGAACCTCAACAGCTCTCCAATTGAGTGGGATGTGCTAGGGGACTGTCAGTCCTTGACTTAAGCACTGGAGACATTATTTTCAGATTTTGAAGGGATAGGTGTAGAAAGAAGGTCCAATCCTATCCTGAGAATAAGGTGGTTAAACTCAAGTACTGCAGCTCCACCACCATTTTCTGCATTTTGAATGCATTGCAAGGCATGTTATAGCCTAAGAAATGTGTGTAATAAGAAAATATAATAGTAAAAAGGAATATAGTGGAGAGGAAGTTACTTATGCATTTGAGTCACTGCTACCATGCTGTGTAACTGCTACCAGTTTACTATTGTTTCTTTTCTAGACTGAACACCAGTTTTTATCTTTAAGATATGAAAAACGGGTGATTACTTTATCTCACCAAGTTTATAATTTCTCTTTTATTTTTCTTTCTCTTTTTTCTCTTTAGGCCCTGCAATTCCTGTTGGGGTAGATGTCCAAGTTGAAAGTCTGGATAGTATTTCTGAAGTGGATATGGCAAGTATCACAGCATTGCTGAGGCGGGAAGGCATCTCTGGAGCTCCTCTAGTCCAACCTCCCTACTCAAGCAGGGATAGCAAGTAGTCCAGAGCCATRTCCAGGAGGCTTTTGAGTATCTCTAAGGGTAGAGATTCCGCAACATCTGTGAGAATTTGCCAACAAACTGACCTCAAACTACCATTTTGTCTCTCTAAATGCTTCAAAGTAAAAGGAAAGAGAGTTAATATGACCTTTTATTTTGTCTGAGACAAAATGATATAATACTGCCAAAACTGCCCCAAAGGACTTATGTTTTGTTAAGAAGTGGTAAGATTTGAAAGCTCTGAGGAGAGGAGAGCAGTTAATGCATTAGTTTCATTACATTTTGTGTGACACATTGCAGGCACAGTCTAGTTCCATCCATGTACTGAGCTGGTCAGGGGCAAGCAGGCTCCAAACCAGAAACCATGTAGCTGCYATTGGAGCAAGCGTTAAGTGTGAAGTGTTAAGTCCTGCTCTCTGCAAGGCAGACAGTGTGAGCAACAGCCTGTACACGATAGTGACAACATTCCTGTTGTGAGATGGGCCTGCTGTGAGATCAGGAAACCCTGCTATTTAAATATCACCTCAAAAGGCAAGCTGTCACCGTGATCAAATTCCTCATTCCATCGGGAAGTGCACAGTCACAAGAGGCTGAAAGTTTTCAAAGGGCAGAAGCATCTTTAGATTCTACCTTTGATTCATTAGCTTCTACATCACCCCTGTTGCATACTCTGTAGGATCTTCCTTAAACTTTGCACTAAYGGTAAGGGAGGATTTCAAGGGCACACATGACTGATCGTGGCATTCTGCATCGGCTAAATTCATTACTTTAGGAGTCTTTCTCCTTCATTTCCTATCCACCATGAAAAAAATACCATGTGAAAACTATGTGAAAACTGCCAGTTTTCAAATACTCTGACAGTGCTGTGGATTTTRGCCTTTATGATTTTTGTTTGAAGAACCTTTTCATCACAAAACAGCACTGAAAGTAGGGTATGATTTCTGGGGGAGATTTTTCTTGGAAATATTTTACATACATGCATGACATAACCAGCCATGCAGGAGAGAGGGAACACAGAAGGAGAATGGAAGATGGAAGTTCATTGCCCAATGCAAAACACTTTTCAAAATGTTTCACTATTCCAACAAATGTATTAACAGCTCTAATGATTTCACAGGAAGCTCAGACTTCTCTGCAGTCTTAATTGACAACTCCTGTAGGCTAGAAAGCTCTCATCTGACCTCTTCCCATGTCTAAACCAGGAGCACAGTTTTGTGGCAGCAGTCAGTGTTTCTCRTTTCACTGCAGCAGGTTGTTGCCCACCGGGTGTAGTGTCCCTGTTCTGCCGCCTGTGGCCAGCCAGGCTCCTTTTACCTCAGCAGCAGAGTCCCACTGACGTGTRTGGTTCCAGCACTGGTCCCAAGCCAGCAATTCCTGGGCAAGCTGACGTAAGAGCACAGTGTGTGGGACATGTGGGGGGCCAGCAAGGTGAGAGAGAGCCCTTGTCTCTGCCTTGCTCCGACAGAAAAATAGAGAATCATCCAACCATTTGATGGGGTCTTTCAGCTGCCAGGGTCTCTGATCCCTTGTGAGAGGCTTCTGAGTATATTGGGTTATTTCCAATTGACCTACCGTGTGGCTGAACTAAACACTTCTGCTCTACCCAGCCTAAAGAGCTTTCTGCTGACCTCTGTGATTCCAAATTTGTGAGCCAAGCAGGCTTGAACACCCCAAGGCAAAGGGAAAGAACTCAACATTCACAGAATCACAGAATATTCAAGGTTGGAAGGGACCTCTAGAGATCACCTAGTCCAACCTTCCTGCTCAAGCAGGCACACCTACAGCATGAGGCACAGGGCGGCATCCAGGCGGGTTTTGAAGACCTCCAGAGGAGGAGACACCACAACCTCCCTGGGCAGCCTGTTCCAGGGCTCTGTCACCCTCACAGGAAAGAAGTTCCTGGAGACGGAACTTCCTGTGCTTAAATTCAGCTTAAATTCATTCATTCCAGCTTAAATTCATTAATTTATTAATTCATTAATAACCCTTCCAGCTTAAATTCATTAATTCATGTTTTCAAGGCTAGAAGGGAAAGAATCTTGATCTTTAAGCAAGCATTATGGTTGTGGGGGACTTCCCTTGGTTTTTGAAAGCTGTTAGTGCTCCTCACCGTGTCCTCCACGGCCTTCCTGGGGCTCCAAAGAGGAAACCAGAGCCTTTCACATCGATGCCACCCGGGCTGCTGTTTCATGGCCAGACAGTGCCACTGAGGCGGCCTTCACTCCTGAGACACCTTCTGGCTGGTGCTGCTGGAGATACATCACGCTGCAACACCCAGCCACACGGGAGAAGTGCTTTATAGCCTGGCGGAAAAACACATTCCAAGTCAAATTTGGCTGTTAGAAAAATAAYGATGAGAGAGACTTTAAATGTCAGAATCAATTCTTTTTAACTCGTGCAGCTTCATATAAAAAGGCCATAGTGCTTTGCAAGATCATTGCTTGTTTTGCTTTCAGACTGAGCAGAGATCAGAGCCCTTCACTGTGTGCTGAATATCAGTTGCCGAATTAAATATAAWAAGTTTTCCTCTTCTCCTACTTTCTATTTACAAGAAAGTGATAAAGTAACAGAGGACATGCTAACACTTCTTTAGGATGCCAAAAATCAGCTTTTTGTCCAATGCGTTTTAAAATTTATAACCATCTATTGTGGGCAACTGACTTTGAAATTAGTGTGGCTTTTGTGGGCTGTGTAGGGCAGCTGTTTTATCTGAAGGAAAGATAGGAAGACGACCTAAAATCAAACAGTTACCCCAAATTGGTAATTTGTTTGCAAAAAATAACAGGAGGAAATAGTGTCTCTGAGAAATGGACCAAAAGAAAAGGGAATAAGTACTTAGTTGTTTGTTACRAGAATTTCAGATGACACATTATAAAATATTGCAGTTTGATATCATTTCTACTGAGAGCTGAAAATGCTTTATTTCTCCAAGGCAGCCATAAATGCAAATGTTTATGTAAGAAAGTAGGACTTTATTACTGCTTAAAGGAGATATTTAATCAATAAGGAGAGATAACAAGGAGATAACCAGCTAGGAGTCAATGAAAAAGGGGTTTCCTAAATGATTTTCTTTAAATCTGTACACAGGAAAAAAAAAATCTTATTGAATGTACCAAAAGAAAAGAAAGAAATGGCATGGTCAGTGGCCGAGGAACTTCAGGGGGATGTAGTGTAAAATGTTTCCAGGAATCTTATTGGCCTCCAGTGTGATACTAGCTTAGCTAGTACCAGTCTCTCCAGTCTTCAGCTGAATACAGAGAGCCTCTGGGCTAGCAAGTGCCTGCTCCTTTGCTGCCAGCTCCAGAAGGGCGTCTGCAGAGCACTGGGGACGAAGTGCTTGGCAGGGCCCTGGCATACCTGCCCTCTGCTCCTTGGAGCGGCTCGCGGGCAGGAGCACCCTGCGGAGGCGCGGAGAGCATCTCGACCTTGCCTGGGCAGTAAGACCTAACTGTAACGCAAACCTCTTTCCTTCAGGACTTCACCATGACCCTTTATCTGAGGCACTACTGGAAAGACGAGCGGCTCTCCTTCCCCAGCACCAACAACCAAAGCATGACGTTCGACGGYAGGCTCGTGAAGAAGATCTGGGTCCCCGACATGTTCTTCGTGCACTCCAAGCGCTCCTTCATCCACGACACCACCACTGATAACGTCATGCTGCGGGTCCAGCCAGATGGGAAGGTACTTTATAGTCTCAGGTAAAATTGCATTCRGTCAGTGTCAGTTATGAGTGAAACGCGAGAGAAAATCTGGGGTCTTCCTGTGTTTCATTTTTGCATAGTTTCATGCTAAAAATAAATGAATAAATGGCATGTACTGACTAGCCACTGTGATCAAGAGGAAAAGTCCCATTGTCTTACCATAATAAAAATGCATATGTGCACAGGGAACCCACCTGGGACAGCACTATATAAGTGGAGTGAGAATCAGGTCTGAAAGTCCATGCCTASGAAGCACTTTGCTTCTCCTTCCTCCAGCCGGGTCCTGTCCCTGCAGCTCATCAGCCTCCAGAGCAGGATTTCCTACCTGCTCGCCCTGGTGTGACTTCTGCCTGCCCTTTGCAGCCCTGGACACACGGCATTTCCATTGCCTGCTGAGCCTCATAGCCTGGAGCCAGTGGGAAGGAAAACCCATGGAGGGTCTTTTGCAGGCAGCAATTTCCCTAGTTCCCTGCCTTTTTTTTGCAGATTACCGAGCCATAGGCTGCAGYTCCTTGAGGGTGCCCACCTTGGAAAAGCCAGGTGTGATCCCTGCAAGGCATTGCAGAAGATGAGGCACGGTGTAAGAGTAGTGTCTTATAATAAACAGAAGTCCATACTAAAYTAATTTATCCACTTTGTAGCAGAGTCTCAGGACCCAGTGAAATGTACAATTGCTGTTTTTAAAGGTCCATGTGAAGACATATTGATTACACTGATGACAACTTTACATTGAGCAAGAAAACAGCCTGAACGTCCTTAGTGCCACAGAGTGACGGGCTTCACTGTGAGGGCATGGGAGCTCCCAGTGATCCACATGCAGCTAGACGTGACGTGCAGCTRGAGCAGCTCAAAGACTGGGCTGGCTTGAGAGCTTTTGTGCTTTTTGTGCAGTATCTATTTCATGTGAAATGCATTGCATGCTCCATGGAGGGAGTGTGGGAACAAGTGACACCTAGTTTCAGGTTTGACGCTCACCCTGCCTGATTTTCTCCCTTATTTTCTGGCTGGTAGAACACAGAATCACAGAACGATAGAATCCTTATGGTTGGAAGGGACCTCCAGGGATCATCCAGTCCAATCCTCCTGCACACAGGGGGACATCTAGAACATGTGGCACAGAATTGTGTCCAAGTGGGTTTTGAAGATCTGCAGAGAAGGAGATTCCACAATCTCTCTTGGCAACCTGTTCCAAGGCTGTGTCACCCTCACTGTTAAGAATTTTTTCCTTAAGTTCCTCAGGAACTTTAGGAAAAGATGTTCCTTAATGAAACATCTTAAGGGAAAAGATGCTCCTTAAGAACATCTTTGAGAAGAGCATACTTCTCCATCCAGAATAGCCCAGCTGGGGGAGCACTCTCCAGAGAGATGTGGTGTGGCCCCTGCTCTGAAGGCACCTGAGTGTAGGTCCGCATGTCCCTAGTGAACGGCAATTTCTCATCCCTGAGTACTTAAGCTGACGGGGAGGCTCCTGCCAGAAGCCAGGAGGTGTTTAGAAGGAAGCCCAGATCCCACAGCTGCTCARGTGCATCCATTGAGCCCTTCCCCATGGCCAGCTGCCCCGCGAAACGGGCAGGGCGGGCTTGGCGTGTGACACCGTGTGCAGGTTGGGCTGACCCTGCGCCGTCCTCGCGGGGACGCTGAGGGGGCCACGCCGGGGCAGGCTCGGGATGCGTGGGGCAGCCTGTGGGGCGGCGTGTGGGGCGGCCCGCGCTGCTCACGGTGCCGGGGCAGCCGCACAGCGGSGGGCAGCGCGTGGGCAGCCGCGTCCAGCAGCGGCCGGGGCATCGGAGAGCCCCTGAGCCCYGCGCGACCCCAGCTCCTCAAGCCACTGCAATGGGGGTTTGCTCCCAGTGCGATACAACGTTTTACCTCCTGTTAAAAATTGGCACAGGCTGCCCAGGGAGGCTGTGGAGTCTCCTTCTCTGGAGGTCTTCAAAACCCGCCTGGATGYCGCCCTGTGCCACATGCTCTAGGTGTACCTGCTTGAGCAGGAAGGTTGGACTAGATGATCTCTAGAGGTCCCTTCCAACCTTAAATATTCTGTGATTCTGTGAAAAACAGGCTGCAGGAAGAGCAGGGTTATTGATTCCCTGTGCAGAGCATTTCAGCAGTGGCGGGTTGGGACCAACAGGATTTCTAGCTGTTGGTACTGCCTGTGCCCTCTGGTGGCTCACAGCGAGGTAGGTCCTCAGGAAGGAGGACGTGCAGGAGAGCTACAAAGGGCAAAAAGYCTTCTCCCTGCCCTTTTCCATTTTCTTCCCTATTTTCTTTCATCTAGTAGAAGCCTTTCACCTGGTCATCTATTCTAACCCTGTTTTGCTGAGAATAAAAATTGGCTTTAGCTTAACTGGAATGGCTTTAGCTCAATGAAAGGTGCTTTTTTTTTTTTTTTTTTTTTTTTTTAATGTACTGTTACTGTTAACAAACTGGACCACTATTATTAACAAAACAAAACAACAACAAAACAAAAACAGGAACAAAAAACAAACAACAACAGAAACGTGCAATTTTACTACTTTTCAGTCACATCAGATGCCTAGTTTTAATGCATCGCTTTTTCCTACACCTAGAGTGACAGTAACAGCAATGTGCAACATGGATTTCAGCCGCTTTCCCCTGGACACACAAACGTGTTCCCTGGAGATTGAGAGCTGTAAGTACAAGGCAGATGTGTGCAAGCCAAGGGCCTCACACTGTGGCCACCTATGCCTACGTTTAATTATAAAATAAGCAGCAGGTAAACAAGCTGGAGGTCTGGAAGTGAGCAAACTTCAAAACCGAGTGCAAATCCTTGCCCTTCAATATTTTTGCTATAATTCYTCTAGACAGTGTTTGAAACAAGAAAATATACTTTGAACACTAGTTGCTAATGCTGTCTTGTTAGTGCCCCCCTCCCAAAAAGTCACCTGGCCTGCCCCACACTCCTGCCCCATCCAAGGAGCTTTGCCTGTATGTCAGCAGTGCCCCAAGCACCTGTTTGCCCCAAGTAYCTACCCCCACCAACAGCCATTAAATGTATAAAACCAAAGTGCTCAATCCCTTCATGTGAGGAACACCCTCTGCTTGTCCAGGGTGTATAGACCATGAGGCAGCATGGCATAACCGTCTTGCCCCTTATGTTTCTTACACCTATCTGAGATAAACCAGTTTGTACCCCTATGTAGCTTTGTTGACCAAAATATGATTTACATATACATCTCCTAGATTTCTTACAGATATATTTTAAACTTTTAGCTTTTTAGTGCTTTTTATCTTAAGTTTKCAATGAGTAACTATAGTCTTAATTCCATTTTAATAAAGTTATGTGCAGTTGATAACTTATTAAACATGTCTGATTAAAAATACATCTGCAACCTTCATGTGTGAATCACAGACAGAAACTTTAGCTGAGAGTTTGTTCTCCCAGATGCCTCAAACCATGGAGAGTCTGTCCTTCCTGTTACCCCAGGCAGCCTCTTTTTCCTAAATTTCCCCTCCTTTGCGTCYGATTGTAGTCCTTCTTCATATTCTGATGCTGTGCACTACCTGATGCACGATTATATATGTGAAAATATGCWTAGAGGAGAGAGAAAAAGTGGGTACAAAACAGATCAGTCATGAAGACTGAGGGCTGTGAGCACCATCTGGCCTTTCCCTTTCCACAGCCATACCCAGCACCTTCGGGGCTGCCATGAGCCGGTGGCATCCGGCCGTTTCCCTGGGACCTTGCACATAGGTTGGCATATGCATTGCTGTGCTCTGAGCTATAGGCGCAATAATGGCCATTTCAGTGCATTGCAGCAAGGTTTGCTGTGCTCCCCTAGATGCCTACACTGAGGATGACCTCATGCTGTACTGGAAGAATGGGAACGATTCCCTAAAAACAGACGAGAGGATATCTCTGTCGCAGTTCCTGATCCAGGAGTTCCACACCACCACAAAGCTCGCCTTCTACAGCAGCACAGGTGGGTAACGGGGCTCCTGGCAGAGCGAGGGCAGTGGGAAAGCGGGTGGTTCCAGCCCTCCTGTCCGGCTTGTCCCACAGGGAGGTCCCAGCTGTGCCCCCCAGACCAGTCTGGGCTCTGACAAAGGCACCAGCTCTGCCCCGTGCAGACCTTGTTCACCGTGCAGATCTGCTCACCACGCTGCTGCCCCTGCCGTGCTACAACGTTATCACCTGCGTTTCTGTTCAGAAGGGCCTTCAGAAACAGGACCCTGATTTTCTGAGACCCTTGCACCCTGAAGCCCCCTAAGTCCTCTAAGAACTGACTTGCACAGAGCATTCCCAGAAGTTGAGCTGGGCTTGCCAGAAAGGAAAGCAGCTTCAGTCTGACTGTTTTCAATTAATTGGGTATTTCTTTTCTGGAATGGAGAGCGCCTGATTCCAAATGCACTTAATCTCTGTGGTTAGAAAATGCGGAAAGTCTTTTCCTCCTCAGGATCACACTAGGCCTCAGTGTGAGTTGAACGTCCTGGGTGCACAGGTCTTGTTATCTTCTCTGGAAGATCTGGTCCTGAGAGTTGCTTGGACTGCAGTAGTCAGTTCAATAAAGATTCTTTTCTGTAAACCGCAACGCCTGGGGTCACTCCTTGTGTTTCCCACAAAGCAAGCGTGGCAGTATTTCCCTGATGCACCTTGCCTGGAGAGAGTTTGTCTTTGGTGTCACCTCTCTGCTTTCTTCTCTCTATTATACAGGATGGTACAACCGCCTCTACATAAACTTCACCTTGCGCCGACACATCTTCTTCTTCCTGCTCCAAACCTACTTCCCTGCCACTCTCATGGTTATGCTGTCCTGGGTGTCCTTCTGGATCGACCGCCGAGCGGTACCGGCCCGAGTCCCGTTAGGTAAAAAYGATCCCGTAGCAGCAGACTGCAGAGATGGTCGCACGCGAGGCCCTGCCTACCCCGACAAATCAGGGAGCAAATGACAAACTCTGCTTTTATTGCTTTTAACAGATATATAGCACATACAGAACTGGAGTCTCACTATCCTTCACGCATGAATGTGAAAATCAGTGTTAGTAACATTAGCAAACGTGCAGTTTATTGAATTTTTCTAGAGGAGGGTGGGGGGAGGTTACACTGTAAGCAGAGCTGCGTTGTTCAAGATGTTCAGGACGACTGTGCTGCAGCATGAGAGATTTCGCTTCCACTTCTGCCTCGGCCTTCAGGCAGAGGAGGCCCCGTGTCAGGGGATTTGCCATTGGAGCAGAACTGTGTTGTGGATGTCAATCTCCTTTCAAAGTGGATGTTTTGTCCTTAATGAAGCAGCACTTGTGTTTTTACAACCTTTAGGCCCGAGATTCCTTCCATTTGCTGCAGGGAACACATTCCAGGACTTAATTTATTGTTAGAGTTGTGTTCTTCAGGACTGAACATACACACAGGAGTGAGCATTTCCCTATAGGGGGTGGCAATGGGGCACGTTCATGTCCATGTTCAGAAGCAGCATCCAGTGCCTCGAGAAATCACTGAACAGCAGCACAAGTGCTTGGGCCTGGGCTCTCCAAGAGACGTAGGCACTGCCTTTAGGAGCAGTTAGGCACTTAGATATTGTTGTGAATTCAGACCTTTGTGCACATATACCTCATTTCAATTTTTGAATGGGTTACGAATGGGAAATAATTAGTCCATGTAATAAGAGGACCACAGATAGCCTCCCTCAGARACAGCCTGACACTGAACTATAAAGACCCCTGTTCTTGTCAGTGTGTTTGTTACACTCACTTGTGGCGTAAAACAGGACAGGATTTYCCCTCGCTAGGCCCCATTTGTTCCTTCTCTAACAAGAGAGGAACTTAGGGATTGTGTCCTTAAGGAGAGCTSTGCTACAGCTAGAGGATCACTCGCACAGAGTGCAAGAAAGGCAGCTCCCCTGTGAGGTCTGGCGTTGCATTCAACCTTCCCCGAGGCTGGAACCTGCCTTACGGGCTCTCTCTCCTGGTGTATTCCCAGGGATAACCACTGTGCTGACCATGTCTACRATCATCACGGGAGTGAACGCCTCCATGCCCCGGGTCTCCTACATCAAAGCTGTGGACATTTACCTGTGGGTCAGCTTCGTGTTTGTCTTCCTCTCCGTGCTGGAATACGCGGCAGTGAATTACCTGACTACAGTGCAGGAACGGAAGGAGAGGAARCTCCGGGACAAGGTGAGGTTTTCACTCTGCAGTGCTGGTCTTTCCCACTGGGAAAAAGTGCATCAAATGTCTGGGAACTACCTGAAGTTTGCAGCTGCAGTATTTTGCTCTCTGGTGCTTTGGGAGAATGCAGTGCCTGCCAAAAGACACTGTCAGTAACTCTTGCTGGTTGTGAGAATGAGCTGCCTGATACACAGGCTCACTATGGGAGAGCAGCTGCATCCCTGCACCTACAGCCCTCCACTGCCTGTATAGGTGGAATAAGTTTTAGTAATTTACCTGTAAATATTTTGTTATTTTGGSGATACACATGCAGACCTGTGAATTGCACCAGATAGATAGTGCATATTGTCAGATAACAAGGCACATTTCTCTCTGTTTTCCCCAGGCAGTGCCTAGAATTATACATAGTGGTCCAGAGTTCCCCCTTTTTGTCTTTTAGGTAAATTATATACATAAAATTATAACCACCCCAACTCCCTGCCTCAGCTCTGTGAGTTGGGCAAGCCAAATGCATCCCATCTTGCAGCTTCCCTGTGTCCTTTTTCTGTTTTCCTCAGCTTTGAAGTCCTGGCCCAGCCTTTATTTACAYCCCGAAACCTGTGCATTATCCAAATGAACTATTGTTTTTCACTTTAGCCAGCTCTTTGTGCAAATCTGTATGTGAACGTTTACACGTACCCGGACGTAACTCATAGCTGTGTCCGCAGCTCCCGTGCGCGTGCAGCCTCCCGCAGCCGCGGCCCATGATGATGGACGGCAGCTACAACGATGGAGACGTGGGCGAGCTGGGGCACTACGTGTCCGAGAACGGCGACAAGCAGGACAGGATGATGGTGCAGCTGGCGCTGGGCTCCGAGAGGGGCTCCAGCAGGAGGAAAAACCAGAGATACGTCAGCATGCGCATCGACACTCACGCCATTGACAAGTACTCCAGGATCATATTCCCTGGGGCTTACATCCTATTTAACTTGATATACTGGTCCATTTTTTCATAAACATGTGTAACTTCTGTATTCACAGAGCACTGTGTCATTATACATGAAAAATGCAGTCTCACAGGCTAACAGAAAGAAATGTTTTAATTTGAAGAAAAATCGATTGTTTCCAGACTTTCTATTGCTTTTTTTTACTATATATGTCTCATCTGTGGCATAAATATCTCTGTGCAAGTTTCACATTTGAGCTAAATATAGGATATACAGTCCAACATTTTCTACTKAAAGCCGTGCTATGTTCCTTCTTGTGCCTCACAGGCCACTTCAATCTGTTTCAATGAGTGACAGTAATTCCCAGTTGCTTGTCCGCTGTGCACCCTGCATTTGTGACCCCCACATCCTAACTCCCTGGGCACTGGTGTGCACGCTCAGCAGCCCTAGCACCTCCAGCACCACCCGACACAGCCCGTGCAGGCGCGCAGGACGGGACAGTCACCAGGCACGGCCTGTCCTGCGGCAGGAACCGCTTGTGGTGGCTGGACCTGCTTCCGCGGCGCAGCACAGGCTGCACCACCAGCCCAGCAGCAGTACGTTTGAGGGCTGAGCTCTGCCTTGAGCACACCCCATAGCAAAGCAACCCTTCCAGCTGTTGTGACTCTGCTTGCCAATTCCTTAGAGCCTGCGCTCACTGCGGAACCCACCCAGGCTGCACAAGAGTCGGGTTTTGCTCCGTGATAACCAAGTCACAGGAGTTCTCCTTGGATTTGCTTGTGTGGGCCACAGTGGGAGTTCTGTTCTTGAGCTTTTCTGGGAGAGGAAAGAGGGTTTCCTACAGGATGTTCCACTGAAGACAAATAGCTACAGAACCCCCCACCCCTCACACACAACACAGATACTCACACCTCTMCTGCAGAACAAGCTCCTTCTCCCTGAGACTGTCCAGGTATTACCGGTTAGGAACAGGGAGCTGCATCTGCTTGTAAATTCCTGTTCCTGCTAAAGCCAGGATAACTGCACTCCCTTCCAGGAAGAGCTTGGTCCTTTTTTTAGTGGGAACAGAATAGCACAATGCTCAGTGACAAAACAGTTGTAAGGAGTTTATATCTGATTTACTAAAGACACCGTGCCGAAAGTTTGGAATGAAGCAAAAGGAGTTTCCCTCTGCAGGCCCAGGGTCCTCTAACRATCTCTGCCTCGATGCTGCACCCASTGCCCCAGCACCCTGCTGCCCCGGGGCCGCGCTGCCGGGGCGGGAACAGGGAGACACGGCGGGARCTGAGGGCACTCACCATTTACCCGCCTCCCAGCTCTCCGTCACAGTTTCTGCAGAGCAACCAGCCAGCATGACTGTTCTGTATGGAAAAGGCAAAATCTGCAACGTAGAAGCAGCAAATGTGCGTTTCAGGAAAATAAGAATTTGTGGAATAGAGTCAAAGTTGGGTTCATCARTGAGTCCTCCGTCATATGCTCCCTGCCTGTCTCCATCTGGCTAAACGACGGCGGTGGGTGGCAGAATTCTGAGCACCTGCACACTCTTGCACAGGCTTATAAAGCTCTTCCCGTGCACAGGAACACGGTTGTTTCCTGCAGAGCGGGTGCTGTTGAGGTGGCCTCCCCAAAAGGCAAATGGCTCCTCTCAAACAGCATCTGCTCTGGAGCAGCTGATCTGCGGCTCTGTGTGCTGTGCTAGACACAACGCACAGACATTCAGATTGCTCCAACACTGCTGATTCTTGCTTTTAATTTCATATGTAAATAAATCTAATGTAGAATCACTCAACGTTTCTTAAAGCTGCCAAAATCATGGCCTGCAAAGGCGTAACTGCCCTGCATGCTGCACTTGCAACCTACAATTCAAAGGTAAGGCAAGGAAATCACAGAAGTCAAGAGATCCACCCAGCCGTAACACAGTTTTATGACTAGTTTCTATTTGCACATATAGACACARCCTCACCTTTGTCTCACCAAGTTTCCTTCCTATCGTATCATTCTCCAGAGAGATTTTCCAAGAGATAAAATAAATACGCATTTTCTTAAACCATTAACATTTTAATCAGCTGAAGATGAGTGGCAAAAGTGAATGAAAGGCCATCCCCGAGGCTTGGTCACCCTGCCTCAGGCTGAATGGTATTTTACTCCACAGGTAGCCCCAAGATTTTGGGGAGCTCTTCCCAGCATTACACAACCCCAACTTCCCAACATTACACAACTACAAGAATAGCCCAAACAGGAGCGCCAGACTTTGTAATAAGCTGCCCAGATATCAAATATGTGATTTATGTTCCTTTGTTTGAAGCCTAACGCTCTGTGGTTTGCCGCACCAGTACTTTACCTTTCCTTGTAGACTCATTACGTTTATACTATAGACAGTCTTTGAGCTCTGGCCAACATTTTAAGGGAGATTTTGAAGGTACAAGAGGCAGCCGGGCTTCCATATATGTCTTCCTAAACAGACTCCCCAGGCTCTGTGTTTGGATTTATGGTGTGAATTTTTGTGTTTTTCTTTGGAAACTCTAGTGCCTTTTCAATCTTATGTATAGGTGTATATATGCATTCTATAACAAGAGAATATGTCACATGCAGCCAGTGTTTGCTCTCAAGGACTGTTACCATGAAATGCACTTGCGTACACAGCGTGGGGGATTGCACTCTCCCAGCGCATGGTTTTGTATCCAGGCATTAACATTCCACTCCATTCCTGCAATAAATCCGAGCAATTTGCTTGTTTTGGCTCCTTTCTAGAAACACTGGAGACCCCAACAAACCCACACGTTCGTGCAGCGCGGAGTGTCCTCTGCCCTCGAGGGAGCAGCCTCCAGGAGGGTTTCAGCACGCAACAAACCCCTGCACACAGGACCCGGTCGGGTCCAGGACTGGGCGACCTGCAAAGTTTGGCATCTCTGGGCCTCTTATTGTTTCTCCTTCTCCTACTGCCCCTTGGCGCTGAGCTGATCCTTGAGCTGCTGTCCTCACCGTGAAAGAAGTTCCTTCAGGTTCCATCAGGAAGTTCCATCTGCACGTGAGGAAGAACTTCTTTCCTGTGTGGGTGACAGAGCCCTGGCACAGGCTGCCCGGGGAGGCTGTGGAGTCTCCTTCTCTGGAGATCTTCCAAACCCGCCTGGATGCCGCCCTGTGCCCCGTGCTCTGGGTGTCCCTGCTGGAGCAGGAAGGTTGGACTAGATCATCTCTAGAGGTCYCTTCCAACCTTAAACAATCTGTGATTCTGTGAAGAGGCTCTCGTGCTGCACACCCCGTGCGACGGGGAGCTCTGCGACCGCACGGGCAGGGCCTGGTAAGGAGCCTGCGGGCAGGTTGTAAATAAATCACAAGGATGATTACACTAAGCCAAGTCCCTCCTGGACTGTTTGTATGTCCCAATCCTCATTTTTCTGGTTTAGGATGATATCATAATATAATTTGATATAATTAAGACCAAATTCTTCCATCCACTTGGGATGGAATTTTTAAAGAGCAAAACTCGGAAACATAAGARGTCGGAAATAAAAACTGATGATCTCTTTTTTTTTTTTTCTCCCTATTGAAAGGTTCTTATAATCACCAAATCACTAGATATCCCTTTCTCTACATGTTTCAKGCCTGAGCAAATGATTCTGCCCAAACGAAACCGATTCAAACTCCTTGGAAGTCATGGGGAACACACAGACATCCCTGGGACTTCCTTGTCCTGCACTTGCTCCTATGGCAACGTGGTGGTTGATGGAGGACTGGGAACAAGCAGTGAGGAATGAGACACTGTATGACTTCATTTATCCTAACAAGTATATTTTACTTATCATATCAAGTGCTTATCAATTCAAGTATGTCTCAGAGCATGTGGCCCTCCTCATGTCCTCCTAACTGTGTCCATGTAAAAGAGAAAAACTCGAGGGGCTGAACAACCACCTTGCTGGAACATGTGTTATTCCAGCCCCCTGGAAAGATGCTAAAAGCAGTAGGTATCTTCCGGGACAGCAGTCCAGCTACACAAGTAGGTCATTTCTACTAAATGATCTAGCTGGAAAGYTGGGTGATCCAAGGCTTTCAACTTMGAATTTCATGGGAAAACCTCAACATCGGCATTTCTGAATAAAGTGATGCGGAAAGCCAGATTGCTCCTTTTTCCTCCTGAGGTGATGTCTGCTTCTCACAAATCACAGGCTTTAACCCAAACTCTTAAATTTAGCAAGTGACACAAAGCATTTCAGTAGYGACTACTTTATCATTCTTGGTCAAGTTTTTCTGCCCATTAACATTATGTGGTGTAGAAGTTTCAACTCTCCTGGATAAAAAGCAATTCATAAAAATCCTTTCATAGTTCATTTCTTAATCTGTAACACTATAAAGCTAATAAATTCACCACTACGACCACTTCCCTAATAAGTATTTATGTTTCTCAAGAGAACTTTTATTTACAGATACTGTCAGTTTGGTAAAAAGGAGTGTTTCTTGCCATTCCGAGGCAAACATTCGCGTCTCAGGACTAGTGCATAGGGCTCTGTGGAAACTAGTTTAAAGAAATGTCGTCAGCGCTTCAATGTAGAGAAGGAGCCTGTGGGATGCAGAGCATCTCTGCCAAAGCAAGCTCTGAGGCTCTCTACAAGTATCACTTTATAAAGGCAAGGTGAATTTGACACTGTCATATTAATAATGTGCTAATAAAATTCTTTCCTTCTATTTATCTCTTATTTCTGAGGCACACATCCCTCAGCCAAATAATTTCACAAGGAATCTCAGCTCCCACCTTGTATCCTAGAACTGCAGCCGTAGCTCTACCCCTAGCTACAATTCTCTGAATTCTAATGTGTTTTAAGAGTTACAGCAGCCCTAAGATGATAAATATTTTACTTGAAAAGCATCACACTCAAAAAATACCAGCCTGGCCTAGCAGAGATTGCCAGCCAGTTCTCCCAGAGTGGAATTACCCTTGAGTGTAGATATTCAGATAAACACAGTTAATATTAGTCTGAAATTAACTTGCCAGTTAAATCAAATTAATAAAGTGATAATGTTGGTGTGGTAGGGAAATAAAGAATGTGCAGTATTTGAGCAATACCTTTCTTTTTTTCATTTCCCATGTATAGGGTACCGGCATTTGTCCACTTCTTTCCCCGCCTGATTCCAACACCCAGGAATATGCTGCGGGCAAGCACAGAAAGGGATATAAATTCATCTCAATTATTTGCCATTGTATTTGTAATCCATGAAAACCAATGCTTTAACAGAATATAACCAGTCATTTTGGAAGTTTAACACATTGCAACATATTTGCAGGCCAGAGAAAAAAGTCGTCACCAGAAATACCTGTTCTTTTTTAATTCTTGAACCAATCTCTCAAAATTAATCAAAGGACAAGAATATTGCTTTATTGATATCAACTCAGCAACGCTTCAGACATTTTCATTTCAATTCCAGCAATGATTACARCAAAATTAAGATGTGCTCTTGTTGCAGAAATGTTTAATTAAATGATCAGATCATTTAATTAAATTACGCAGCCAACAACTGCACTGAAGAGAACAGGGAAGACTGTAATGCCCTCCAAGGGAGAAGTTCTAAAGCCTTCTAAGGAAGAAACCGAATAGTTTACATGGGAGGAAACAGTAACAAATTCTGAGTAATAAACTATTGCCAAGATCTGGCAAGGTAGGGCTTAAATTAATCAATGAGAAAGTGCTTTGGACAAAGTTTAAMAAGGATCAGTAGAAACGATCTAATCTAACATCTCAGTTGGATTCAGCACCCAATTTATCCACAGCTGAAGAGTCCAACTCTCATCTAACCGTGGATTCAGGCATGCACCTGAACAGTTTGTTCGGAGTGAAGTCAGTGCACTTCAGGAGAGTCCAACCTCGACAGACTCTGCTTCTGTCCCACCAGTCCCCTCAAATCCACGGCTGCTGTCGAAGCCAGGCCTGCCTCCCGGCAAGTCCTCCTCTTGGATGAAGCAGCTCAGGTGTCCAGCACACGGACGCCTGCCAGAAGGAGCCTGGCTGCTGGTGCTCCCATCTGCCTGGTTCCTGGGAAGGCGACTAGCCTGGTGGAAGTGCTTGGTAGGTCAGGCTTGGCCTGTGGTCACTGAATGAATAATGCWTATTTAGTATCAAAACGTCCACATAAAAGCTGTACTGTCCATATAAAGGATATTTCTAYAGCAGTACAGAGAACAATCACTGACATAAGAGAACTGAACATCAAATATTCAACTCTGCAACTGAAAAACGATGTATCTGAGATCTCCAAAATTATCATATTTAATACAGCAAACATCACAACTACATAAAATTAAGCATTTTTTTGAATTACACTATCGGTTTTCCAACTCTTAAAGTACAAAAAAATATTTCTTCAACTATGTTTATGCAGACTCTTTCGGAACTCAAACACAGCTTTTCCATCAAGCCATCCCCACTAAGGTGGGGAACAGACCAAGTTTAACGTGATGCACACGCAGCTCCTATGCCAAGACCACATTCTTTGCCTGGCTCTGCTGGATTTAGTTGCCCCTCCTCTCTTAGTTTCATCCGTTTAAAGTCTTGTCTAACTTCTTCCAGCAGACCTGGCTTAAAAATTACATCCAGTGCTGTCATTGCCAAAGCTTTTGCTGTCCGCAAAGTATAGAACTGTGCGTTCTGTGACCCTACAGAAAAATAAGAGAAATTGCAGGTTAAACATTACACTACGTCCTATAGAACCACTCAATTATTGCATAAAGTATATTTTGCTTATGAAATAAGATCATGGGAGTTTAAATTGGAACAACTTTTAATACARTTTTGTTTGCCTGAATGAAGTAGGCCTATTTTCCAAAGCCCCCAAATAATTTTCCCMCACAAGTACTTACCTTTCTGTTATTGCTTTAAAAGAGACAGAGAGCAGGAAAAGTGTCCACATTTCCATTTTTAGCAAATGAAGAGTTCTAAGCCATGTTTATGTTACGTGTTCAGCGCACTGTGTTTTAAGGACAAATTTTTTTTTTTAACTTTTATCTCAGCTTTAATAGGCTCACATCTAGAAATCCTTCTCTGAATATGCTAATCTTTGTCAMTTTTTCTTACTAGATGGCATACTGAAACTTGTCAGGCTTTTAGAGAATATTCTACCACCACGAGTGGTAGGTTCTCATATACAAATACAAGACCACATATTCTAGACACCGTGAGCTTGATTTTTCCGCAGTTCTGCAATTAATTTCCTTCTTTTGGGGTCTGCAGACAGCTCAGATCTCATCACGCTTGAAGTTAACTCCAGTGCTGCACAGGAAATACAGCCTTGTTCAAGTCTAGTACTCATGCTTTTACTACAGCTTTACAATATACTAACCTCGAATGGCACRGAAGCATGAGAAAGCTTTAATCTTCTGCAATTCCAAATATCTATAATCTCTAGATCTGCTGCAGTTGAGCCACTACAACACTGCAGATTTCTCAGTTTGAGCTCCTAGCCCTTCTCACCAGCTCACCTGCTGCTTCCGTGTACTGCTCAGTATGATTCAACGCATCTGAGCCAATATAAAAATAAGGATGAAGTCCAGGAACYACAAATGTCACATTCCCAAAGTCAGTAGAACCTAGAAGGAATGGGGAAAGTTTCTCAATGAATACATGTAAAAAAGTTTTAAACGCTGTGAGAAAATGTATGATATACACTTTATCTCCAGTCTACCTAAAAAAAGTCCTTCGTCTCAAATGCTTTCAGCATTTCTAAGTAGTCTCTATCCATACAAACACTCCTGCCACTGAGCTGAGTTTTCCCTGACTAGATACCCAGATTTTGCTCTCCACAGCACTTTTAATCAATACCTATTTACTGTTAAATTTTTTGWGAAGTGTCTCCTGACAGTCAGTTGCTAACTCAAAAAGAAGGAAGCTCCAGGTCTTACAGAGTTGGGCTGTGCATCTATTTCAAACCCACTACAGCTACCAAGAGACAGTCTCCAAGACAATGTTTCACAGCTCTAAGTTACTACTTTGTAACCATGTTCCTGGGGTTTGGGAGCAGGACTCGGAGGTACGAATAATCCAAAGCACTATCTTCAAGCAAAAATAGATGGAGGAAAATTATTTTTTCTGTACTTTCGAATTATTCTGCTACGGAAACCCTTAAGAGTTCAAGCACTTGTGGAAAGCAAAATATCAAAAATGAACTCAAGATATGTTAGTAACAGGTTGCAGAGAGCTCTTGATAGCAATACTGCAAATTTAAATGACATTTCTGCTTTCATACATGACTTGCAGTGTCAGTGCATTAGCCAGTGACCATATGCATCTTGAAGGCTCATTATGCACTTAAAGATCCTATATAGAAACAGTAGATCCCCTCGTCCAAGTCATCCAAGAGGCTACAATTACTTCCAAGCTTTCCTTTTTCTAAGTGTTCCTTTTTCTACGCCAACAAGCAGTCCACTCAGTAACYAAAAACAGTGACAAGTTCTCCCCTATTTATAACAATTATATTTAGAAACTCGAGAAATCAATAYGTGGTTATTGCGAAATTCAGGCACGAGAGGACGCACAAAATCACCCTGTTCAGCGGTGGGCTGGGGAAAGGGATGATCAGTTAAAATATAGCAATTTTTTTAAGGCCAGCAAGAGCTTCAAGAGATTTTCTTTTCGAGCTAGCAGGTGAAAGGGCTCTTTCCAAAGATTTAAGTTATTTCTAGCTCCTAGGTAGACTTATCACAGTTACTTTATTGGAGAGACCATATTACTTAGACCTTAAGACTTAGCAATAAATTGACTCAAAAGTACAGTTGTTACAGGGAAAGATGCTTAAATGCAAACCCACAGAACCTGCATTTTGTGATCAGAGAGAACAAGACTCTAGCTTGCTATTTGTTCTGCATATATACAAATAGAAGACAAAAAAAAATTGTTCAAATGATGACCTTTTCATGCAAATACCATACAGATTTTAATAAAACCCAATTGTCAGCACAGCAGTTTGTTATTTTAGTTTTCAATAGTCTATACTGTTGATGCATCATTTGATCAGTGTAGAAAAACCAAGCAGAAGCCTAGGAGTTCTCCCTACTCCAAACCACACCAAGAGCTCCAGACTTGCCTTAATAATCTCCAACACACACGGTTGCTGCAAAGACCGTAGGGTTTTTTCTTGCTTTCACTCAGCAAATGAAGGATTAGAAATTCCCAGTGTATCTCCACATAGTTCCACTTGAAATGAGGTTATATCCACACATCTACCAACTTCACAAATTATTTTTGCTAAATGTAAAGTCACTAACYGGTCATTTTCTAGTAAAATTTAGAGCTTACCAAGTGAAAATACAAACAGCTTTTGATAAAAGTGTGACGCCCACATTTTCACTCCCAAGAAAACTGTTAAGCTCTTAGCCATAACCTCCAACACATTTAAAACAAGAGCTGTTCCACCAGGCCCCCTGCAAACAGCTGGAACTACACTGGTGYTGGAGGTGGATGGATCAGAGCAGCAGTTACCAGCACCACACACACTGTGCACTGCCTTCAACAGAAGGGACCGGGGAGCTGCAGCTCTCAGAGGAATGTCCTGCAGCAGTTACTGCACCCAGGCCAACTCAGGAAGCACGTAAGGGAAACCAGAATTGCCACAAACATAAAAGGAGGGAAAAATGCAACGATTTCAGGAAACCTTTTTAGAGAGTCCTACGCTTCAGAGGCGGTAATTTAAGAACATAGTGACTCCCTTCTTAACATCATCTATATCAATCTTGTGCACAGGAAGCTAATGAATGTTAAAAATATCAAAATAAGTTATCCCAAGTGTGGGGGCCTAAAATGTGCACTAGGAATTGTCTGCATTGGCAGGATACCAAACTCCTGTAGAACTACTCCTGTAGGGTAGAACCACCCTGACACCACACAGAGAAAGAGGCCATGGCACCTGGTCAAAGCTGACTCCAGTTCACACTCTCTTACAGCACTCTGGCTGCTTGCCAGCAAGCGGAGCCTTCCACACGGCAATGTAATTTGATGGACTAAAGGAATTCTCCAAAAACACTTAGCTGCCTAGAGTGATACCTGTAAGGAGACCGATACTAATACCCATGGAGAGGTGGCAGCGAGTGTGCTCATCTGTTAACGACTTTTCTGCTGCACAGACATGGAGAAGGAACTGAGCTATCTTCCTTCTCTTTCAACAGAAGAAAAGGACATCCTAAAAGAAAACATTGAAAACCATATGAAAACTGAACAGAAATAGAGGTCTTGAAAAAGATGAGATAAAACACTCAAGCCCCTCAGAAAGGGGAGCATACAAAATTCRAATGAGCTGTGTTGGGGGAAGAAAATTCAGTACGGTCTAATTGCAGTATGAGATAAAAGCTTGTGAATATTTTGACATTTGACAAACARTTAAGAGCAGGCATATGGGGAATTTCAGTTTAAACAAGTTTACACTTAGCACTTACTACTTCCTGTAACTTGCATCTGAAAGCATTGCTGTATTGCACTTAGGTTTGTTCATTCAGAGGGGCTCTGAAACTGCCACATCACAAGACCAGTATCCATGGTCTTTGAAACACTTAACTGGCTTGTGAGGAAAGCAACTAGTAGAGCTGCAGAAATTTCACTACAATTAGCACTCTAGAGGAAACAAGTTACTTCAGCTCCTTTTTAAGGCCAAACGAACAAAGCAATAAATCTTATTTATACCGCACTGAAAGCTCAATAAAGAAATCTCTCTTTAGTTATAATTATCTGCTTCTAAACCCAAGATAACCAGCAAACTGGAGAAAATATGCTAGTGCTGTCTTAGTTTAGAAGGGTAATCAAAGAAATAAGCAACTAGAATACAGTTACACAGGCTGTCTTCCCCACCCAAAACACAACTGCAAGTCAGAAAAATCCCCCAGACATCAACTGTTTAAAGATACTCTGTATTTTATAGAATGAGGTTAGTGTTACAAATAAACAATCTAGAATTAAAGGTTTTGAAAAATATTTTTGAAAAATATTTTAAATATATATTTTTTTAAAATAGATTTTTTTTTCCTTAAGAGAGGTGCCTTTCACAGGAAAGGAGTAAAAATATTTTTATATGACCAGTAGTGAAGGCCATGAACACCTTCAGACATGCATGCTTTTAAGTAAGAATGCTGAAGTAAGAGCATTCAAGATTTATCAAGATATCTCCTGTACGAAGATGCTAAAAAACTGCGAGGGGTGACTAGCAATGTCAAAACATTCAAAAATTCACATCGCTAAAATAGCCCTGACAGACCAAGAAAGTTTGAGACATCTTGGATCAGAGCCCAGACCCAGAAGCAAGCACCTAKATGAACGGAATACTTTGGAAAATGAATCTGTTAAATTTGTGAACTAAAGTCAGAGACATGGAATTATCTGATAACAGAAAGGAGGGTGTTGTTGGTTTTAATTACAGTTACTGAGAAGCTTAAAGCAGCTTACACAAAGTCCCTTTAAATTATCAGTTAAATGCTAGTTGATTTGTTTAGCAGTAGGCTTGTAAGAAATTATTAAATAAGGTTCCTAAAAACTAAATTTTGTTGTCATTTCTATGATACAGTAATTCTGTATTTCAAAGCAATGATGAGTCTCACTTCATTCCACATTCTAACAGTCTCAGTAAGACAGCTCTTTTCCTTACAACTCCTCACAATCAAAATACTTCCTATATGAAATATTCAGTGATTATTACTGCTCATTTTTGCCAGAAATTTCTCAGCTTCCAAAGAAAACACAAATACACAGGCCAGAGGTAAGATCCTTTTCAAGTTTCAATTTTCTAATTCATTTTTTTTCTTCTGACCAGAAGATGCTCAGTCCACCTCTAGCCCATTATTTTATACACTTAGGATTTGATCAATCCAAACTTGTCAAAACAACAAAAAAGTGCCAGACGTGAGTTACCTGACAAACCATTCAAAATCAAATCATCTGATATAAATTCTATTCCAAGCTTCTTTCCATTTTCCTTGTAAACTTTCTCCAGACTCTTATTTGGAAGCACATTGTAGTAATCATGTTCACTACCTTTTATTTCCACCTAAAAAAGTAAAACAAACAGTTACACATTATTTACCAGCCTAAAGCAATTTAACCTAAACTGTGCTTAATTACTTTAAAATTTAAGTACCTGGCCACATTTTTAACTCATATCAAAGCAGACCAAAGTGCTTCGYCCCCTTCCAAAAATTTTAATAAACTCTTTCTTCAGTTAGTCAAATGCTATCCCTGATCCAAACCCAGCTGGGGATTTCATCAAGCTTCCACAAGTTTGTCAAATTAAGAAAGCATGAATTTTGATCATATYATCATTAATTAAAAATAGTAAGAAAGTATTGTATCAAATTCTATTTTGCTATTTCTAGGTTAAGAACAATCCCAATAATTACAGCTCTATTAATGTTTACTGAATGACTTCATGCAGGAAAAATGATTGAAAATAAAGGCAAAAAAGTATCAGGGTCAAGTTTCAAGAAACCCTAACTTCTGTTTAGAATAAAAAAATTGTTTTTTGAAAGTTTTTCTAGCTGGAGTGGACACCATACTAGGAAACCAGCATGATTCTAAGTAGGCCTTAATACTCACTAGTTCACATTCATACCTAGCACAGACATTTTTTTCTGGTGACAGTGCTTTCACAAAAGGWTATTTTCACAGATAGCCAAGGCCCCCGCCTGTAACTACAGAGCAAGGAACACCTGTGATCTTGGCAATACATCGCAAGGTAATCACATAGCTTGAGTCAGCTACAGGAAACACTGTTTACTAAAAGAAAAAATAAGTGGGAAGAACACCAAGTGAAATCAGCCACTAATGGTCAATTGCTACAACCTATTCTCAACTGCTGAGGAGAGTACAGACCAAACGCTCCTTAGGCCCACATCCAGGCACATGAACAATTCTCCTCCAGTGCAATCCACATTAGGTGATTCTGTGGCATTCTATTATAAGATTGTTTTCAGGACACAAAGCAAGAGAATAGCAAATWGTGTCATACAAATTTTGATTAACTTCTGTTAAGCACCACGCAGACAAATGCTGTAACCTCAGCTCTGTATTCTGGCCGACCTCATCCCCAGCACACCAGAAAGACATGGCCATGAAGACATTCTTACTTTGCATCCTGTGGCCAGTGCTGCAGCCTTGAAGCAGTTTTCAACTTTCTCTGTCAGAAGGTAAAGATCTTTCACTGAAGGGGCACGCAAGTAAAACTCCATCTCAGTGTAAGAAGGAATGATGTTAGGTTTCACACCACCGTTTTTTATTATACCTGTAGAAAGGGAAGGGTCGTGATATTAATGTTGCATACAACTGCTTCACCTTCAGGTCTGTCATGAATCTCTTCAGAACCAAATGAGTAACAGAAATAAAACATACGTTAGGCATGAAATACAAAGAACAACAAACATATTATGTAGACAACATTTTTCTACATCATGTGAGATTAGTAAATGGGAGGCCTTTAAGTGTGAATTTTGAACATTCATCTGATGTCTGTTACTAATCTAAAGAAAAATCAAAATAGTACTGATAATTAATCTCTTAGAACACAATTTATCAGAGCAGTTAAACAAGAAATTACCAAGAAATAGGGGAGAAAACGTCGGTTATGAAGGCTATTTTAGATTCTAGCCTTTTAAGATTTCCTCCACAAGGACATATTTCCAACTTATTTTACCAGCTCAGAGAGAATTTTATAGACTCTCATGTTTTTCTGCAATGCTAAAATTCTTTGCTTCTGGAAATGTGCACGTGCTGCAGTGTGCAGAACATTCAGTCAATTCTTCATACTAATTCTTCATAAATACTGGTATGTGTGTATGCATGTTTTATATCTTTCTATAAATAGATCTATATATATATGTGTGTGTATAAAAGCACACATACATGTGCGCACACACAATTTTATTCATGGATCAGGCTAAAATTGAAAGTCTCCCCTCAAGGAAATATGACAGCTACATAATTTTCAGTTATGGGATCAGAAATAGTATCATAAAAAATAATTATGTCAACAACAAAACACTACACACCTCAACACCATGGTAGAGTTTTCAATGTATTAACAGCTAGGTTTTTTTAACAGCCTGTCCTTGTTCACAGGACTCCTAACATGAATTTATTCATGTGAGATCTGAGTTGTTTCAAATAGAATACAAGAAACACTTATCTTAAAATGAAACACTGAAAAATGTTACCATGGCCTGAAAGGACACTGTCTTATATAGTCCTAAAATAGGACAATATCAGAATACAAGTGGGCACGATATCTTCCATTTTAGTGCAAAAAATGATTAGGACTATGAAACTCTATCCCAATAAAATCTTGATCACAGTCAGTGATGGAAGTGCTCAACGAAATGAGCAGTACCAATCTATGTTACAGAAGGAACAGCTGAAAGGGACAGGCATCACAGAAACAGAACCAGCAATCATTCAAATTTATATGGCACATTCCATAGTGTGTTTGCTCAAAACAAGCAGCTTATGGAGMTAGCCAAAAAACAGCACTTTTGCTGAATTTTAATGTGTCTGTAAACAGAGCTGGGCAGATTTGAACAGTATGTCYGCACTTAAAGCTTCAGAACAACTGCTACATGAAAACAGCTGGTTTGCACAGTATTTGTAGCATTTTGTAGTGTTTACCTTGGTTGTAGATGAAATATATCTTTAACAACCTGTTTAGCACAACTTCTTCAACAGATACATTGTAAGAAAAAACGTCTACTTTCCTATAGTGATTATTGCACTCAAATGTGGAAGAACAATARACCTATCAAATACCAGACAAACTCAAAACAAAACTGTTGAATTATGGCTCACAGCAAGTGTTCCAAATAAATTCCTCACTCAGAAGTCCTGTAGGAATGGCCGAATTTCTTATTTGCAATTTAGAAAAAAAAAAGTGGAAGGCAGGATGAGGGAAATTTGAGATTATATAGCTACTGGGCAGATTCCATTTCAACTTCTGAAACTCTGAGTAAAAACTTCTACTTCAAAATCTACTAGATTTTATAACCTGCCATCATGGGGTTTTCATACCTCAGGAAATCTAAGTCACTCTAGTCAACACACCTCTATAAATGTCTCTCCTACAAAAAAGTGCAGAAAACTACATTTTGTTTTTAGAAGCATTTAGCCTTACACCTTTGGAAAAACACAAGCATTGATAAATAGGGGTTTCAAGGCTTCGTACCGACATACACTTAGTATTTGAGCAGCCTAAAGTATTACTTGGTGGACATGAGATTTAATGAAGCTCTCACCATGAACTCTCCAGGTTGGTTTCATTTGCTGTCTTAAAACAGACAGGTTGTTGTATGCCAGAACAGCAGCATCTAATGCATTAAGTCCTTCCCAAGGATAAGCAGCAGCATGAGACGCTTTTCCATAGTATTTCACAAACAAGCTAGGAAATAAAAAGCAYTGCTTAGTTTTTTTCATTCAGTGAAAAAAAAAACCCTAAAACTCTGAAGTTTCTTTGGTTCACACGGTTCACTTGCATTCAGTCTGGTAGAACACAAAGCAACAATGTAGCTGGCACTGCGCTGTCGCAAAGTTAAACCATCTTTGAATGCAGACAACAGTTACAGAACAATGAAATGAAGCAATATCAAAGAAAAAAAGCAGGCAAAATCGCTACCACTAACATACCAATACACAGAGTTTTTCTGAAAAGTACAGTTTTCACATAGGAAGTAACTTTCTCCTATACATGTTTATATCTACGTGACCACTCTGAAGATTAAAGTTCCTAGCAAATTCTTCTAAATAAGAGGATTAATATGCCCTTTTCTCTAATTCAAACTCAAAAGCTAATTGTGTTAATTCTTGCTAAACTTTTAAATAAAATCTGTATTTAATACTTCCAATTACAGAAAAATTCCTTTCTAGAGGCAATAAATACTGCTAGTTATATATTTTTTTATTATCTACACAAAAGCTAATTTTATCAATACTAGAGAATTTTACTAAAATTTCTGTTTGGAGTCAACAACCAGTAAAGCGAATAGTGATAGACCTTTTCCAAGAGACATATACTTCTTATATATATATATATATACAGAGAGAGAGAGAGAGAGAGAGAGAGAGAGAGAGAGAGAGAGAGAGAGAGAGAGAGGCATATATATATATATATATGCCTATAGCCTTTGGTGAACAATGCAATCCTAAAGAGATCTTTAAGAATTTCAGCACAAGACCTCCACTGAAGGGAGATTTTCAAATCTTTCTGTATCAGCCTCAAAAGGCTGTAACAAGAGTCAAGAATGAACAGAAAGACAAAGCTATCAATGGAAGCTACATCTGGAGGATTAAATGGACAGGAACCAAAAGCCAAGAGGAGCTAAGGCTCACAAGGAAATTACAGCTAGGATTCTTTAGAAATACAAAGGAGGGATGTAACACAGGGCTGGCTGTGCAAGGCTACTGACCTTGCTCATTTCTACCCTAAAACTAAGCAGTCTGGGAGCTACACTGAATGAGAAGGCAAAATGGCCAATGAAAGGTTTGAAAAGCAGCACAACCCAAAGGAAAGCAGCAGATGGAGCATTCAAGTTAGAAATTGTTGGGCACCCATTTAATCATTACAAAATGTAGTACAGGACAATCAAACGCAGTACTCGGAAGAAAAGCTGTTGCACTGGAGAGAGGCTACTAATGGTAGGATAACTCCTTGGGTCAAACATTAGTGACTGGGTGACATCCACTAAGGCAAACTGCTGATGACCTACAGCTAGAACACTATGAAGGTAGAAAAGGCTTATAATACCAAAGAAAGGCTGGCATGACCTTGCAGACTGGCATCACAGAAATAGGATGAAACTCAAAAATAAATTAAAAAAAAAAGCTGTGCACTTACAGACTGTGTTTCTTCTGTAAGACAGACTGCTTGAAAAAGTCTGAAGAATAACCCTCACATTAGCTAGCTATCTACAGAATTATTATGAGGCACCAATTTACTGAAAGGCAAGCCACCCTAGGATGCATATGCTGAATTTCCAGGAAATAAGGGCACACAGTGGTCCCGGCATTAGGCAAGTGCAGCGCAATGAGATTCCACCTGACGTTCTGTGTACAGCCCTGCTTATGCAAGTCCAGGGAGGAACACTTCAAAACAAGTTGCTACAAGTGCCATGAATAAGGGTACAGAAGGAAGAGCAGGAAAAACCAAAAGACTTCAGGACACAGTTTCCACAGATTTATCAGGCTAGCTGGAAGAAATGGATGCTTAAGAAGGGATGTGACTGCCCTCTGTACCTGTATTGGGCTATGACATGAGGGACAGTCAAGAAATWATTTTCCGAAGTGGGAAAGAAACAGAACCACTTTCAAAAATGATTAGAACATTTATATAAAGGAATACATGACTTAGTACCCAAGAGAGCAGGGAAATATGATCAGTGAGACCACTCTCAGTTCTAGGCTCTAAAATTTAAAGGRTATGYTTTTCAAATGAAGTTTTTTTGAAGAGAAGACAAAAGTATACAAGTGTAAAGCCAATGCTTAGAAGTCTATCAGAAGAAAAAGAAAGAAYTCTGGGGACCCACACGGGATTGCTTGCAAGTCATAAATGTTCTTTAACTTTAAATTTCAAGTGTGAAGAGCATCAACATTTGCATTAAGAGCTTTCTGGCATACACACTGTGCTGTAYTGTAACAAACAATTTGGTGCTCTGCTGAATCAATGTCTGTCTTGGCATCTGCTCCTCTGTACTAACATTTTACAAGTAAAAAAAAGACACAAGCCTAAGGAATTCCTGCAAGCCRGAAACACTGCACAAAAGCTGTCTCAGGCTGAACACTGTGCTTGGGAATAACTGCTCTGAGTGACCTGAGCTGACTGCAAACACCCTGTCTGAAAGGCACCTGCAGGGTCCMTGGCCCTAAGCCCAGCCTCTTCCAGAGCAGCTCTCCCACTGCAAGGATGACAGCCACCCTCTCCAAGGAAGAGRCCACCCTCTCCACCCCAGCTCGCCCACTCACTCGTGCTCGGCCACGTCGGGCAGGTAGGCTGCGTTTTCTTGGGACGGGTGGGCCATGAAAACCACGTCCAGGTCATCAAAYGCTCCGGCTTCTATCAGGTCTATTTTGCCTCCTCCATCTTCCTCCGCCGGGGTGCCCAGCACCGTAATCTGCAGCACAAACACGCAGAGTCAGGGGCCGAGGCCGAGCCCGCCCGTCCCTCCCCAGCGCGCTCCTCACCTGCACGGCCACGGGCGGCGGCTGGGGCAGGCTCTCCAGGGCGGCCTTGAGCGCCAGCGCGGCCGCGGCGCCCACCTCGGCGATGAGGTTGTGGCCGCACGCGTGGCCGATGCCGGGCAGCGCGTCGTACTCGCACAGGAAGGCGACGCGGAGCGGGCGCGGGCCGTGCGGCGCCGCCGTGCCCCACTCGGCGCGGAAGGCCGTGCCCAGCTTGTAGCGCGGCTGCACGGCCCACGCGGCGCCGGGCAGCTCCTCGGCCGAGAAGAAGCGCGTCATGGCGTCGTGCGCCTGGTGCTCCTCGTAGGCCAGCTCGGGACGGCTCCAGATGTCGTGGCTGAGCGCGCCCAGCCGCGCCGCGTTCACCTCCACGCTCTCGCACGCCCGCTGCTTCAGCTTCTCCAGCGCCGGCGCGGCCAGGCCGCCCTGCGACGGCTCCTGCGGCCTCATGAGGCACCTGCCAACGGGAAGGACGAGCGTTCCCGACGAGCAAACGTTCCTAAGGGGCKACCGCCGCGTACCTGTTCAGCGCCCTGTCAGCCGCGCGCTGCCACCGCCGCCCCCTTTTATCACCTCCCCGGCGCCGCGGGGCGCGCTGGGAGTTGTAGTTCTCCCCTCTGCACGGCACATGGGTGGCGTTCGGCCGGGACTACCCATCCCAGTGCGCCCCGCGTGGGGAAGGGAGGMGGGAGGAGGGCGGGGCGGGGAGGGGCCGGGCGGGGCCTCACCCGCTCYCGGGTCGGTGGCCGTTATGTCCGTTTATTTCTGGCCGCTCCGCTGTGGCGGTTGTGGCGCTTCGTGCAGCGCGGGGGTTCCCATGTTTGGGCTTCGTGGGTGGTGTCGGGGGAGCGCTGCTGAAGTCCTTGTTTAACCTCTGTGTGCAAATACTTGTGGGTCCTTCTTCAGGCTGCTTTCCTCTGTACTGGACTGGGGATCCAGTATGTGCCCTGTTTGTGCACCTTGCGCAGGCATCAGCCTTTGKTTTTTGGCAGGTTTTATAATTTTACATCGATACAGGCTCATTTTGGCACTTCTCAGCTACTGTTTTGCAAAGAGATTCTATTTGAGTTTTCAATTAGACATAATTATGCAATAGCTAATTTTCTGCTTGAAAGCTAATGCCTTGTTTACCTGTGTTATTTCCTTTATTCTTTCAATCAGAAGTCTTATCTGTCTGGATTTTTTTCCCTTTCACACATGCATGGCTCGGGTATGTGCACCACTCCTTAGAGGTTGTGCCATTGCTGGCTTTCCCAATCATCTCCTGACCATCACGTGCACAGCACCGGGTGCTAGCAGTGCTTGGAACGGGCTTGAATCATCACGAGCTAATGTATTACACACAGATCAGACAGCAAGGACATGGCCTGTTTGCACCTGAAAAGGGGAGAGGTTGACACAAGGCAAAAAAGTGCTTTTCCTGTATTCACTGACTTACCAACAATTACTTTTTGTTCTAATCGCAGTCTGTCCGCTGTACTCTTTTCTTCTCTGTGGTCTCAGGAGCACTTTGATGCACTGAATTAGAGGTTTCCCTTCTCTACAGCAGAAAGGGGAATTCTTTTCCCCAGTGACATAGAAACCTTACATATCCTCAGCTCATTGCAGAGGGAAGTCACGCGAGCCTTACACAAATATTTGTCACGAGCTGTTTTTCCCCTTGTAACAGGTTCCAGCAAATGTCACGGCTGTGGTTATTTTTGTCCCTTCACTCCCAAATACTACAGAATAGGATGAAACCTTGTGCCAAAAACATAAGCTTAACTTTCTGCTAACCTRTGAATACATTGAGTTAATATTTATCAGCAGCAGAGTGTAAACATCCTCAGCCAAGAGTTAGCATAATGCAGGTTTATTTGCCAAGTGATTTCTAGGACTGGGAAGTGTTAGGAGCAAGGACTGCGTGTTCCTGAATGTAGTGCCAGCAAACAGTCCTTGGGAACAGTCATTCTAGACATCGAACTCGGGCGCTTTTGAGTTTGGTGAGAGAGCAACGCTCTGCGTTGCTGAGTTGCTCTTCTGAGAAGGGCAGATCACACCTGTGTTTGGAAAGAGCTGGCACCTATTTCTGCTTTTAATGAGGGGGAAAAAARCAGACTTTCTGTTGGCTTTCTGAGCACACAGTTCCCCAAGTCCCTGCTGTGCACAGAGCTCAACATTTCTTCAAGAAAAGTGTGGGGACCTCCTCAGCCCTGCTCTGCCTTTAGAAYAGGTTAACTGTGCACACTGTATAAATGCTTACACCTGATCAATAGTTCTGTGYTCGTAGGTGGGCGCCTTTAGCAGTTTTTAAAATTGTAAACTGGAAAAATAAAGATTCTATAATGTGACACTTAGGTGACGTGCATGTGATTCTTCAGCAGAACTGAACTCTTCAGTGTTTACTGCATATTCCTCATCCATTTGATGTAACAAAGCAACAGCAACACAGCAGCTCGTCATTTTCCAAAGGCAACAGTATGACAGGGGGAATGCTGCATTAGATTTCACAGATATTTGCTGACAGTGGGGAAAAGATAACGAGTCAGATGAGGACTGTCAGGCTCCCTTTCAGCTCAGAAGAGGCATGTCCTCCAGCTCACTTCTTACCCAGCCGTGACCTTCTCCTAGCTCACTCCCAGTCTGTCTTTGTCCCATCCCTATGAGCCTGTTATAGCTCCACGCTTCATATCCAGCCAGTTCTAGTCTTCATTCCTTAACAGCTCCTCAAAAATAGTACAGTGCCCTGTGGGCTCCAGGTCAAAGCTTCCAGTCCTACTCTTCTCAACTAATTGATCCTAATTCTTCTGTCCCTTTCCCTTTTTTTTTCCCCTCTGTTTACTGTTAGCCTCCAGTCCTCTTCCCAGCTGCAGTTCCTACCTCACAGAGCAGTTGGGGTTGAGGACATCTGTTAGGTACGCCCCTCGTACCTCGGATGGACAAAGGCAGAGAGAGAGATCTAAGTAAGTGAGATATTTTATTCCCAGCTAGCTGGGGTCCAAGGCTCACCCTAGAAGGGGGTCTTGCCAGGGACCCCGAGGCATCTGTGTGAGAGGTTTTTATACATTTTGAAGTAAGGACACAAGATCATTAACTTCCCCCCCCCCCATGCCGTTTTGTCTTTTCGGGATTGGCTGATCTTCTTATCTTTCTCTTTGAAAACTTTTCCAAACTGTCCAAGTGTATCCGTTATGAAGTTCCTGCAAAACCGCTCAAGCGGTTAAGCGTTATCGATGCTCACGATTTATGATCTTCCAATTAGTCCAGGCGTGGCTCATAATTTATGATCTTCCAATTAGTCCATGCGTGGGTAGTTTGTCCTTCACATCCAGTCCAAGCCCCTGCTCAGGCAGGGTCACCTGGAGCAGGTTGCCTTCCTGTCCAGATGACTTTTCAGTATTTCCAAGGATGGAGCCTCCACAACCTCCATGAGGCACCAGTCTCACCACCACCCGTTCCAGTCTCTTTGCTGAAGACACTCTCAGTTTTTCCAGCTCCTGCTTTCCTTCCCTGCTAGTTTGTTGCCCAAGCATCACAGTTTTCCTCTCCCCTTGTTCCCCTGTTTCTTCCCTAGTCTCTCTAAATCCTATTTTCCTTCCAGCTTTTGAAGCATGGTGTGCTACTTTTCCTGCATGTTAATACCTCTCTTGTATTTTTTAACTTGTCTATTTTAACTTGTCTCTAAAGGGTTAACCTGTTTTAACCTTTGCATCTGGTGCAGAGMTCTCCCTTCATGATGCAACCTGTGCTTTGCAAACTGAAAACCCCTGACTTTCTGTCTGAGCTGGTTTTCTCCTGGGTCACTGAGCTGAAATCGCCCCGCAAGGGTCAGGTGAGAGCGGGGACGGGGCCGTGCAGGGCACGGCCGGCGTGTGACTGTGACAGTGCAGGGGCTGGATCCAGCGCGGGGTGCGGAGGCCGCAGCTGAGCGTGGGCTGTGGGCACAGCAGGGACAGGCTGGAACACGCAGCAAGTTGCAGCTGTGTCTGAAGGGCAGGGTGGGCCGGGGAACGCAGCCCTCCGAGCATGAGACTAACTCAGCTCTGGCTCATCCAAAGAAAATGTGCCGGGGAGCAGCTAAATTATTTTTAAGGATAACGGCACCTGCTTAGTGCTTTTTTTTATTTTTTAACTGCAACATCTCAGACTGTCGCAAGGTTAACTTACTTACGGGACCACAGTCTTACTCGTTTGCAATTAAATTTAGAATGCACTTAAAATTCTCTTTGTTATGAGAACTTGTGAGACATAAACTTGTGAGACATGAACAGATCTACTATTTCTTTTTAAATTAAGCATTACACATTTAATGCCAGCCTGACAATTCCGATCTATATGCTGGAAAACAGCATTCATGATAACAGCAGATAATACAATAATGTGTATGTTATTTTGATGTGTTCTGCTTCACATTCCCAAGTCATTTATAGTCTCCATGTGCAATACAGTTTTCTATCTTTAATATAGTGTGTCTGTTTGTGCCAGGTCCCAATTCTCTTTCTGCGTGTAACTGATCCTTCTGGCTACAGTATTTTACAGTGGCATTATGTGTTAGGCCGTAACAAATGCTGAAGCTGGGTAATTTGACCCCTTCAGCAGGTGTCCAYGGTGGCAGTGCTTGTCTTCTACAATGACCCTTGGAGAGGTGGAGTCTCTCTCTCCTGATGCAAAAGCATGAGGTGTTCAGCACAGGACAGAGCAGGCAGAAGAAAGGACATTCTTTTATTTTTCTTGTGTAGATGTAGACAAATTGCTGTGTAATATTGCCCTGTTTCTGTGTTTCACCATGCAAAGCTGTGCTGTGTTGGTGGTGTGCCTGTCACTGACAGTTCCTAGATAACCAGGTTGGAGCGAAGAGGGCCCTGGACCATCCCTTGGGAATTCGAGGACTCGGTGGCTCTCCCGGATGCCTCTCGCAGGCCGTGCTCAAGGCGGGGGTGGATGAAGTCCCTGRGCTGCTGCAAGGCGCCCGTCGCTGTTCTGGCCTCGCCTGCGTGAGGCCTCCTGCGCCCCGGCACCAGCAGCGCCTCCCGGCGGAGCTGGGGAGCGGGGGCGGCTGCGGGTGCAGCCCCCTGGCCGTACCCGGCAAAGGACGGTGCCTTCCGCTGCGCTCTGAGCTTGGGGGAGGCAGGATGCCCACAAGCGGGAAGCGTGCGGCCCCTGCTCCCTAGCCGACCACAAGCAACTTGAAATTCCACGTGTCCCAGGACTCACCGTCAGGATGAGATGTCCTTGGATGCTCGGACGTAACAGTCAAATTCATCCCTGGCTTCTAGCAGTGACCCAGCTTGGTAGGGGCAGGAATTCTGTTCTGGCCCTTGTAGAAGAGCCATGGCTCTTTCACCTGCAGAAGCTCTGTATGGGAACAGAAGCCACTGTTCCCACAGAGAAAGATAAAAAAAAAAATCAGTGTTTTTGCAAATTCTTATGAGAATGGAGCCCTATTCCCATTTCTCCCCTTATTTCAGGCCTTTCCCATTATATAAATAGTAGTAATGATAGGTTTCTATTACTAGGACTCCCTTCTTGAGGACACAA